GCCGCGGAGCCGGCATGGACGGGGCGGGCGAGGAGCGGCGGCCGGAGGAGCGGGCGGCCGGAGGGCTGGGAATGGGCAGTGGTAAGGAAGGGTATGGATGAGGGTAGGGGGATTAGTGATGCCGACTCGCGTTAATGACGGGGGAAGGCACCCGGCAATGAGCCTAATGAGCAGCCCCGGGGGAGGATAATCGCTGCTCAGCGATGTTATCTGGGCGCTCATTAGCCTCTCTCGGCCCCGCCGTGTCCTGGCCCCGCGGCTGGGAATGATGGATTTCCCGGCCCTCCTGTCCCCTGGCTTGTAAAAGCACCTGGCTGAGGGTAGGGGGGTCTTTCCTTTGTGTCACACCGAGGGGCTCCCGCTGCCTCGGTGTTTCTCATTTGCACCTTCCCCTGCTGTCCGCTTTTCCTTGTGTGAAGGGACCTCTGAAGCCATTTCTTTGGTTCTGCCGTGTGTGTGTGTGTGTGTGTGTGTTCAGGTGGCTTTGTACCCCAAACAATCAAAATGCCCCAAACAACCCTAAAAACCTTGCAGTTCAAGTGGTTGGCTTGTTCCAAGGAATGTCCAAGAAAGTGGTTGTGAGATGAAAAAGAGGGCTTGGCTTCCTGAAAGTGCACCAGGTGTCCCAAATTACCTATTCCTGATGTTCCCACTCAGTTAAAGTCCCTTCTACTTAATGTTCTGTTTGTCTAAAAGGGGGACAAAGTGATTTTCAGTCTCGTCTCTAAATGATGGGAGGACTGGTTTTATAACTTCCCTCTTGCCAGGAAGGCCCATCTTTCCCTCCAAACTTGGTTTTCATTTTGACTCTTTTCCTTGGTAGTCCCAAATTGTGAGGTCTTTGCTATCTGTTCTAGAAATAAAACACAGCAGTTTACTTTAATTTGGAGGACATCTGTCAAGAATATTAAATTAATTACCAGGTGTCCATTTCTGCTGCAGATACAAGGTACCCACATAAGACTTGGACATGTATTTTGTGATGTAAACACATACCGGGGTTTGCATAGAAACAGTTAAAAACACTGCATCAAATTGTGTGAAAATACTTTCCTTCCTGCCTGCCTGCCTTCCTTCCTGCCTTCCTTCCCTCCCTCGGTCCCTTCCTCCCTCATATAATGAGTGAGACAAACTCAGATGCTACCAGGAGGATAGAGGAAAAAGGAATTACATAGACCAGAGGCATCTTCTGCCTCATTCACTTCTTGACCCTCCCCATCAGGATATTTCATCTCATGCAACTGCAGTGGAAACTTGTTGCTGCTTAACAAGATCAAAGTATTAAAGCTGCATAGTTTCCTGCTTCTGTTTCTTTCCCCTGCAACTAAATAGGCTTTCTTAATCCTGTAAAAGCAAATTAGATGCTCTTGGGCAGAGCATCTTGGAGCAGCCTGACATCCCCTCATACTTCTATGAAGTTTCTGTCATCTGCTTAGAATTGTAGGGCTCCTCCTTGATTAACAGTTGTTTCAGAAAGAGACATTCAGGCAGAAGCAAACCTTTTATTTTGGCATTGCATTAATATAGATCAGAAAAAGAGCCCAGTGAAATGAAATTATTTTATCTTTTTCCTCAAAAAATTAAACTATTAAGTTTCTCTGTTGTCACGTGCTATTGAAATGTCAGCCTGCTCAAACTTTCTTCTCTCCAGACAGAGGCAAATACATGGGTTTGGGTTTATTACTCTACTTCCTATTCTTATGAATGAATCACTTACTTAAAAAATTTCAACTAGCAGAAATCACACAGACTCACACATTCTGAGCCACTTGGGGGGTTTTTTGGAACTTTTTATTTGTAAATGTATGTGCCAGCTGGAAAAGTATAAGGCTTCTGCATTATTCTGTTGCCTATTTTAATTATTTCTTTTGCTGTGTTCTTTTTGACCTGTCTTCTATTATCCAGTCTGTCTTATTGTAACACACTTTCTGTTTTTTGTTAAACTTTCTTAGACATTTGTACCTAATTTTGTCCTTATCCCCCTATTTCATTCCCTATCTTGTAAGTCTGTTACTCAGAAGTGTGGCTGAAGCTGCAGAGAAATAATTTAAGGCAGTTAGAAGATTGTACAATTAGTGTTTTTTTGCTTGTCCAGCTTTGGTATGATAGAATTCTATGCAAGTAAAAAAGTGGTGACGTTTGTCAGGTAATCCCTGACGACACAGTAGACCAGAATTTTACTGTCTTTCTTTTGCTTATTTTAATAAGGTGACAGGACCTTGCCATGTCATTGATTTTTGTTCTGTTGCTTATTCCAGAGACCTGTAGTATCCATGGGGCTGTTTTCCCACTACTGTATATTTGTAATATGCAAACTTCCCTTTAATCTCTGTGTCTGGAATTGCTTTCTTCTGTAGTTTACACTTTGCTTTTAAAATGAGGCTTTTCCCATCAGACATTTGAATATCTCCATATTGACCATATCAGGTTCTTTGCTATTGCTTTCCTGGCAGCACCTGTCTTTATTTTGAGCCCTCTGGTTCTTGTCACTGTTGGGTTTCGTTGTGTGGCCTTTTCATTCCCCCATAACTGCAACTCCTGATCCAGGTACATCCACCTTAGGCAATGGGCATGTGGGGTGGGGTTTAGGGTTTTTTCCTCCATTTTTGCCTTGTAGAGTGCCAGGATGAGAAGGAGAACTCATTGCTGAATGCAGAGCACTTTGTGGTGGATGCTGATGCTGTTGGTGGCCGCAGTGCAGGGAGCAGTGTGCTACCTACACTCCCAGACACAGCCAGACAAGAAAAAGTTGAAGATAACTTGGGAATAGAATATAGGAACAGCTTTCTAAAGAACGTGAAAGAAGATGGGGGATGCAGCACCCTGCGGGCAACTGGGTCATCTTCCCAAGGCTCCGTTGTCCTTGATGGCCAGCATGACTTTGCCTTGGCGTGTGGGCAACCGTCGGATTTCTGCGGTAACACGAAGGTTGGATTAGCACAGGAGCCAACAGGTCAGTCAGGGTCACAAGAGCACACTGAGAGTTACTGCCCTGCTGGGACTGAAAAGGAGGCAGAGAAGGAAAAAACTAAGAAAGCATCCAGTGGAGTGCCTGGAGCTCCCTGCAGGCAGGAGGAGATCGGCCCAGTCCCTCACCGATCCAGAGGTACTCCAGCCAGCGCTGCAGCTCTGAATTCCTACAAGGGCTCTTCAGTCCTGGAGTCCAGAGGCAGCTGTGATGTGGCCATGGGAAAAAAATCCTTACCTGTCAAGAAGAAGCCCCGCACCTTCTATAGTGCAGGTAGATCCCAGGGCACAGACTGGCACACAGTGACACACTGGCAGTGCCGGTGGCACTTGGTGCTCCCTTCCCTGTGCCGATCTGCTCTAACTAGTATTGCACTGTACTCCACACCATTAGATGTGTGAAGACTTCCACTAATAGAGATTGCTGAGTGTCTTTCCTTTGAAACATCACTTGCAATGCTCTTTGCTTTTGAAACAGCAAAAGATTTTTGTTTATTTTTGTGGTTTATTTTTAAAAAAATCCTTTCTATTACTCATATATTTCTAAGGACAGTAAAAATGTTCATTTTCTTTTCTCTCTTATTTCTTGTTTCCCTCTCTTGTTATCTTTTTTTTCTTGTTTTCCTGTCACATACTTCCCATCTCTCTCTCTCTTTGGACAATGCATAATTTTTAGAGCAGCTAGAAGAGCTGGAGAGGATGTTCCAGGAAGATCACTATCCTGACAATGAGAAGAGGAGGGAGATTGCAGCTGTGGTTGGTGTGACACCACAGCGTATCCTGGTAATGCCTGCTTGGGGGGACAGTGCTGCCTGTGGGTTCTGTGCAGAAAAGGGATGGGCAGGGACTGGACATTGCCAGTGTTCCATGTGTAGATGGTTTCTTCCCTGAATGCATTCCTTTCTTCTCATTTTTCAGGTCTGGTTTCAGAATCGCAGGGCAAAGTGGCGGAAATTGCAGAAGTTGAGTATAAAAGACAACAAAAAATATCCATCATCATCAGCTCTGTTAGTCCCCTTTGGATCAGAGGGTTATGGGTGAGGAATTTACTCTGTTTTGTCATTTTTCTACAACTGATACCTAAGAAATTAATTATTTTCTTTTGCTGTTTCCTCTTTACCTTTAAACAGTGAAGAGCTGAGCATTGATTTGGACCTAGGGAGCCTGTTAGATTTCTAGGAAAATTGTGGTGGGCCCTCTTAAAAGTCCTTTTGATTAACCTGTAGCACAGATTAATCAAATTAATTTTGTCATGAAACTATTGAAATTGCTCTGTAGAGAGCAGGGGATGAGATGGAAAAGTTTATGGAATCATCTCTTCATTTTTAGTTTCTGTGAATGCATTGGCCAGGTGCTTTGGGTGTGCTTGGGGATTCTTTTAATGGAGTTCTCCCACCACTGCTTTCCATTTATATGGATTTTTCACTTGGTGATGGAAATGCTGCTTGCTTAGATCAGTCTTAGAAAGTCATGGACTTCTTTGAAGAAATACAAGGTAGCACCTTTCATATGTAAGAAGAGGGCATTAAAGGGGGGAAAGGGAATATGTGAGAGGATAGATGGTCTTTCAAGGGATGGTGAATGTGTGAGGGGAGAAATCAATCTCCATAGGGATGTATTTATGGCAATCTGGAGTGAGTGTCTTCTTATGAAGAAAAGAGAATGAAAAAAGGAAAAATTAAGTGGAAGAGGAGAAATTAAAGCGAAAGTTTGAAGAGAGCCTTACTTCATTGCACTGTTCCTGCTGCCTGTCCTATACAAGTCACTTGGGGCTACTACCCCAGAGACTTTTGCTACAGGATTCCTTGCCCTTGTAGTCAGCCAGTGCTTTCCCTTTGCACTTGCTGGTGATGTAAGATCTGCCCCCTGTCAGATAGAAGAGTGTATGATTGGTCATAATGCCCTGCCTTGTCTTCTGTGTCTGCTGCAGGGCACTTCCTCTGCCTCCATTGCCTGATGCTGCTGGAGACCAGCCTGGCATGCTGGGAAGAGACCCTGAAGCTGTGAACTCCTCCAGCCTGTTCAGCACACTTCCTGCATCCCCCACTTCTGCCTCAGGTGAGATCCTGACCAACACAAGTGTTTTGCACAGCTGCAGCATTAGCTGGTGGAGCTGGGAGGTTCCCAAATGCTTTAGGAAAGGCCATGTCAGAGCCTTATGCCATCAGTGCAAAAAGTGACGCCAGGTCATTCCACAGGCTGAGAAAGTTGGAGCTGTTCTGCCTGAAGGAGCAAAGGTTTTGTGGAGACCTCAGAGGAACCTTCTAGTATCTAAAGGGGTCTACAGGGAAACTGTAGAGGGACAGTTTGGAACTATCAGGAACTGTAGTGGTGGGACAAGAAGGAATGGCTTCAATCTGAAAGAGGGGACATTTAGGTTAGGTATTAGGAAGAAATTCTTTCCTGTAAGGGTAGTGAGGCACTGGCACAGAGAAGCTGTGGATGCCACATCCCTGGAAGTGTCGAAGGCCAGGTTGGATGGGGCTCTGAGCAACCTGGGATAGTGGAAGGTGTCCCTGCCCATGGCAGAGGTGTGGAATGAGATGATCCTTAAGGTCTCTTCCAATGATTTTGTGACTGTAGGTATAGCAGCTCACTGCTGATTGAGTCTCTACCAGTTATGTACCATCACCGTGGTTCCTCTGTGCTAATTCTGGAGACAGGTTTGTAGTCCTTGTTTCTGTCCTAGCACAAGCCAGCAAGGAATTCTGAATAGGACTTCATAAGGATAAGTGGGCAGGGCATTCTTCCGTAACAGCTGTTTGGCAGTGGTCCTGCTGTTGTAAATGATGAGGGAAGTGTTGTTCTGGTTCTGATGTTCTCCATGACAGACAGTCACTTCCCGTATTCTGGTTTGGATGGAAACATCCTGGCTACAACCTGAGCCAAGTGAGCTGTGTAAGGAAGGTGCACTCTGTAAACTGCTGGTGTTTTAGAGGTTCCACACCTTAAATCATCCAAAGGGGCTTCCTTGCCTTCTCCAGGCAGGGCAGATTTCCATTTTGTGCAAGACCTTGAGGGAGTGAGAGTGACTGAGTTCCAAAGCTGAGGGCTGAGTTTAAACACTGTTGCAGTGGAGTTTTAAGTCAGCGGGGTGTGCTGTTCAACCAGTTTTCTACCCAAGCTGTGTTAAAAGATTGATGGTGGTGAAAGAGAGAGGATTTGTCTAATTGTTTATTGATATGTGCAGTCAAAGAGCATTCCCTAGAGTCAGGGGTGCTTCCTAAAGCATTTCCTAGATACTTTTGTGTTTCCAAGTTGGCACAATATGAAAAGATTTCCAAAGTGCTGAGGACTCCGCCACTTCTTTAGGGATGGATATTCCAAGCAGTAGATGTGCTGACATGTGGTACTGCTGTGTGTTTTCCTGCTTCCCAGTGTAATTAATTCTTTGGGATTTCATGTCATTATGTCTGTCTCCTCCTTGTATTCTGAATATATCAGTATTTAGTTATCTGTATTAAGCCCAGTTCCTGCAACTTATTTTCTTAGAATTCCGCAAAATTTTTAATAGTGGTTTTACCTCTAGAGGTATTTTGGTATGGTGGAAAGCAGCTGTAAGATTGTATCAATAAGTTTAGAATGCTTTATGTGTTGCTAAAAGTATGTAACTGAGATACTTTCTTTATAACCTAATCTAGTACTTCCGTCATTTAAGTTTGCCTGTCATCCTCTCAAAGCAACAGCTCCTTTAGTCAATCCAATAACCTTTTTAACCAATAGGACTGTAATTCAGTTAGCTGCAGTTTTTCCACTTCTTGCAGCAGAGTAAATATGGTCAAAATGTTTGATTAATTCACTGCCTTCAGAGTGATGACATGGTGTAGTCTGTTGAGTCCTGTATTTATTTGGATAGAAACCAAGATTTTGCGCAACAGTTAGTTTAAAGGAAACAAAACAAATATACTCTGATTTCTATGCTTTAGGAACCTCTCCTGGTTCCTAAAGTACCTCTGCAGACACACTGTTTAGTCAGGAGAGAATATCAGGGAATCGCAGAATAGTTTGGGTTGTAAGGGACGTTAAAGATCATCTCCTTCCAACCCCCTGCCATGGGCAGGGACACCTTCCACTATCCCAGATTGCTCAGAGCATCATCCAACCTGGCCTTGGACATTGCCAGTGATGGGGCATCCACTGCTTCTCTGGGAAACCTAAGCCAGGGTCTCACAGGGAAGAACTTCCTTCTAGTATCCAACCTAAACCTACTCACTGTCAGTTTAAAGCCATTTGCCCTGTTAGGCAATGCCTGTCAGAGAAATAAGTTTTGTTCAGGGACATGATCTTGTCTTCTGCTTGCATTGAGCCATTTTTTTTCTGGGGGATCTTCACAATGGGATGCAGCTCTCCATGTGGAACACTTCTGCTAGGAAAGACAGGTATCCATCCATTCTTGGTGCAATGTGTAAGGAAGAAAAAAGGGCAAGTGTCCTCTGTGAAGGAAAAGACTGATATTACATGTAGAGAATCCTTGTAGAAGAAAGATCTGCATGGCACAATCACCTGGAAAGCGCCAGTTGCGGTTTTGCCTTACTAAATGCAGGATAACACAGCTATGGGGTATGAAACTCACTTTTTTTGTTGCTGTTTACCATTGCAAAATCAGACTTTTTCTCTTTAAGAATGAAAACAAAAAATGAAACAGAAGGAAAATTAAAGCAAACGTGACTTGAATCCATTCAGCATCCTTGTTCAGAAAAAAAAGCTAGCCTAGAAATAGGGCCATCCATGGACCACTTGTTTTCTTTATTAGGATATCTCAGAAAATGAAGGAAGATAGGCTATAACCCAAATTAACAGGAGAAAAACAAAAGAGGAAACAGATTAATAAAAAAGGTTATCAATTTACAAGGCAAAAGCAATTGCTTAGTAGTGTCCCTTATGGTAAACAGTTCATGGATGGTTTCAGCAAAAGCCTCTGTGATCTGTGCAACATGGTGCAGTTGGGCCCACAGAGTGTGACCTGCTGGAGTGACTATTTGGGTGCTTTCCTTTTTAACCACTTTCAGCAGGACAAGAAAATTAGATGCGTGAGACCTTTGCAGAGTGTTCAGTGCTGCAATTTCCATTGTTTTCCCTTGCTCTATCCAGTACTTCTGACTATCTGTTGGTTTGTTGGTTTGGTGGGGTTTTTTTTTATGTCCCACTATTTTTACCAGTTCTCCAAACAAGCTGATTAAAAATGTCAGTGAGTTGTATTTGAGATGTGTGTTACCTTGCTGGTAGTTATGGCTTCTGATTTGGATATAGCAGCCACACTACTTGCCATAAGAACCTTTTGTGCCTCAAAACTTCAATTTTGAGCATGCTTTGATCACAGAAATGTTTTGGGTTTTTGGTTATTTTTTTACTTTTGCTAGACATTGTGATTGAAATTAATGGGTTTTTTTTATTTACACTGGCAGTTATTTGAAGCTTTTCTTGGTCTTCTGAGATTTCTTACTCATATATATATATCTGTGATTCATTGGCTTATGTTTTCCCATTAGAAAGAAAAGTTCCTTTCTTTAGAAAGAAAAGTGCCTCTGGTTTGTGGGCAGAGATTTTTCTGTCTCACTGGTGCTTCTGCAGGAAATCCTTTGTTTCGTGCATCTGCCTTGCTAAGGATACCTGTCAGGAGTGCAGCCTATGCAGGTAACTCTTAAGGAAATAGCAAGATGATTAAATTCACTGGCAGAGGTGGGATTCTAATGGAAATCTTGGGACAATTGGATGAAGCTGGATATGGTCTGTCAAAGAACAGTAAATAAACTACAAGCTCCCATGACTTCACTTATAGGACTCTGGCTTTCAAACAAAATTGAAAACAAATATGCTTTCTCATAATTTCAAGACAGGGACGAATCTAAGGAAAGCTTTGTGATGGTCCTTGATGTTCCAGTAAAGGCCTGAAATAGAATAACCATTCTAGAGTTAAGTCAAGTCTAGTGCCAGGACTAGTTCAGAGATCTGAAGCTGTAAATTATTAAATTGCTCTCCAAAATTCCCAAGGTCGTCTCATGGACTGAGAACCCAGGAGGAATGGAAGCAAGAAATAAAAATCCTACTGTTACATTCCCATGTTCACTGGAAAGCCTTCTGAGATTCTCTCTCTACATCAGTGTCAGGAAGAGTCGCAGAATTGTACAGTGTGTTATCTTAAGCCAGGGGTCAGAATTCTTCATGGAACAACTCTCTGCTGTTCCATAACATTTGTGTAAACATTCTGGGGCACAGTGGCCAGGAGAATCAGTGCTAAAGAAGAGTTTAAAAAAAATCAGAAGAGATCTTCAGTTCATTTCTGGCTAAGCCAAAAACCTGGAATGTGACAGGCACATCAGAGATGCTGCCTGGCATGGATAAATAGTGTGTTCAAACAAGAAAAATAAACCACTGAGAACTGCCTGGAAATGGGAATGCTTCAGAAATGCCATCCTAGATCTTGCTTCAGTTTTCTGACTGAGCCCAAAATCAGGGCTATTGAAAACTTGAAAACAGCTTCAAGTTTTCATTGAAACATTGTGATTCCTTCTTTCCATGGCTGCAGAGAGCTGGAAAAAAAAAAAAAACAGAATGTGGGATAAGAGGCACAAAACTGCCTAGCACAGTGAGGAATCTGAGAAACAGTGCTGTAAGATGTTGAAGTGGAAACGCCTCATTAGCTCTCTGGACATGCATTCCAGAATTGTCTAAAGGCTGCTTATACTTGTGGCATCTTTATGTTTAGGTTTGTGTTTAAGGCCTTTGAGTCACACCTGATGGAGTGCACTTGATGTTACTGTCTATGCCTGCAAGGCTGAAGTGCAGCTGCAGACTTTCCCTGAAACCTTTGCCACCTGTGGGAGAGCTTCACCTTAGCACCTCGTCTTCCCTCTCCCCCTCCCCTCCCCCTTTCTCCCCGTCTCTCCTCTCTCTCTTTCTTCTCGTACTCCTGCTGGTTCAGCCTAGTTAGACTGGAGAAATCATTGCAGCTTCCTGCACATGTGATGGCTACATTTGTGAAGAGAGAAACCATTTGCTAATTGCTGTAATAAGAGAGAGACTCATTTTCTTGCACCACGCCCAAGCTTCTTGAGTGTGTATATGTTTTTACTGTATGTATAGTTGTTGTTGACGTGTATAGTTGTTACTCTGGATCACCAGCATCCCTGATTCTTACCTTTACTTTCCTCTATTGTTCCCTTTCCACAAAAGCTGTTGTGTAGGAAACTGTTCGTGTCTCCTTTTCCAGCAGTGACTGAGGAGACAGATCACCAAATAAGATTCTAGCAGCCAAAAGGTGTTGGTTTCATTTTCCATCTCCCATCTTCTTTTTCCCAAGGACTTTGAGCTGCCATCTCTACTTTTTTAATTTTTGGTTTTGGCATGACTCATCAGAGGCCAAAGCAGGAGTGAAAATGTGTTTCAAAACAGCCTAGCAGTGAATTTGTAAAGGCACAGCTTTGTTTCTTTCAAAGAACAGATCATTTTTTCAAAAGGGTGATCTGTGCAGCACACTCCTCCCAGAGGACAGTAGAAATGGAAGATGACTGGGGGGTTGTTCCTGGCTCTTTTCCAAGAAGTGCTTTGCTTCATTTGTCTGCTTTCTTGAGAGCTGGATTAAGATACTATGCAGAGACTGAAATCACAAAGGTAATTTTATTTAACCAATAAACATCATCCTGTGTTCCAGAGAGCTTGCTACTACTCCCTTTTGTTCTCAACAGCAGCAGTGGTACTCATTTACTTTTATTCCCATCAATTAACATCCACTCTTTCACTGGCATCTTGCTTTTCTGTCCTGCTCCTCTTGTCATTCCCTCTGCTTGCTCCTGCAGATTCCCGGTGTGACAGCCCAGTGTGACAGTCTCTCTGTTTTATTCACAGCCTCCTCGGTGGCAGGAATAGTGGCACCCTGTGAAGCCCAAGCTCAGAGCAAGGCGCTCCCGGAGCTGCAGTTAAAACCCAGCGACTTTGAGTGCTTCCCTTGCTTTCCCAGCCCTCCTCCTGTCCGCAGGGCCAGCCTGGCGCTTAGCCTGGCCTTCGACCCCCAGAGCCACACTGTTCCCCTGATGCTGGACACGCCCAGCGGTGACTGCAGCTTGGCTAGTCACGAGAACGGCTCCAGGGAAACTTTCTCTTACGGCGTCCAGAATCAAGGGTAGGAGCAGAAGAGTGTCTTTGAGGGAGATGAAAAAAGCGGCCTCCTGGGAGAAGCCTTGGGAGAGTGAATGTGGGACAGGGGATAAGAAATTAGGCAGGAGCATTAATGAAAAGCGAGATGCAGGTGTGACAATATCCTTTAAAGGGAGTATGAAAAGCTATATAATGTGCATAATAGGACAAGATGCCTGCTATGAGACAGGTGCTACCTGTACTCAGAGTGCTCTCAGAATTGTATGCTGTCAAGTGAAAGTGAGGGAACTGTTCCAAGCTTTGGGGCGGGCTTTGGAGAGTGGGAAGATAATTCCCACTAATACCCATTGTTCAAGAATCCTGCTGTGAAAGCGCTTTGCTCAAGTGGCTTTTGTTGCCCTTGTCCTGTGCCTGGTATTTGGGAGGAAGGGTTGGCAATAAAACAGTTTTTAGTTGGACAGCTGGTGTAGCTGTTGACCCTCCTCTAATCTCTGGGTTGCCTATCTCCTTGCTCTCTGCAGCTTCAGTTCACCAGTTTCTTGCCCTTATCCCGAGCACCTGGAGCCTGGACACAACCTGGAGGCCACCTACTGTCAGTACAGCAGCGAGAGGGAAATCTATCAGCTCTCCCAGTTCTGTCACCAAGGTCACCTGGCCAGCAATATGTTCTCCAACGACCACCTTCCTCTTCCAACACCCCTGGAGTCCCATCCAGCTTTCCCTGACTTACCTGGTAATGGTGGAGCCATAACCTGTGGAGCCATGCAAGGCTATGTACAAAACAACATGGGGGGAGCACTCATGACACAGCAGCCAAGTGGATATTCAGGTAAATTTCTGAAATATTTTGGTATCCTGCTACTCTGGAGTAACTAAATAATACCCTGAAACATTCAGCAAGATCAGTGGGTTCACTGATGACAGTGACAGAAAGAAGGACGATTCACGTGCCTGCACAAATCTATAGATGTGCTTGTCTATTTTTCACTTCATTTTCTTGTATGCTTGTTTGTCTTAAAGTGCTGAGTGACCTGTTAATTTGAATCAAAAGTTACTCTCTGGACTGCACACATCAGGAAGAGTATTAAATGTGAATGTGTCAGATAGTGCAGAGATTGGTCTGGACTGGAGAAGTAACTTTTCCAGGAGTGTCCTGTTGTGTGCACAAACAGTCTTTTGTTGAATGTGGTGGGAGTCAAGGGTGCAAAGTGGAAAAGGTGCCACAGCAGATGGGATAGTTGGAGATAGTGAGGAAAAACAGCCTTCTCACTGTTTGGCTTCTGCAGAAGCCACTTTGAAATCACTTTATGTATCTCAGGGTAATGCAAAAGAAGACAGAGACAGGAGCTGACAGAGTATGGACATAGATTCTTCCTCTGACTTGAATTTGCAACAGCTCTGAGATGAAGGCGCTCCAGCATAATTTTATGGAAAAAAAAACCAACCTCAAGCCTAACCTGTCCCCCGTCTCCCCCTCCCCCAAAACTCCAAACCCCCCCAAAAAACCCTAAAAAAACCAAACTTTAGGTAAAAATGGCATTGTTGATCTCCTTGTTTTGTGTCTGGGCTTTGTATTTTGAAGTTATTCAAGCCAAAGTAAAATCAAATGAGAAACTGTTGTAGTTAATTAATTTGGACAGACAGGTTTTTAAATTAAGGTCACACTCCAAAAGTTCCATCCCTTGTCTCATGACATGAGAGAACAAAGAGTTTTAGCCCACAGATACTGCTGCTGGTTTTTTTCCAGTTCTGTGGACTTTGTCAGGGAGGGAAGTCTGACTCACATCAGGCTGCAAGCTGGCTCCTGTCCCCACTCTTCACAGCTGACATTGTGCAGGACAGGCTGGCAGCACCCATGCTATCTAACACACTTGGCCCTGCTCCCTGCTCTAGTTCCAAGGCATAATTATTATTTTCTGTGGTTTTTCAGTCTGAAGTGCCAGAAATAATGAGAGGGCTATACCCCAGACTGGGTCAAATTAGTTTTTCTAGCTTGGTGCCTAAGTGTGGTTGAATTCCTTGGGGCATGTTGTATGAGCATCAAGGAGTGTGTAAAGGTGCGAGCTGGTGAAGTTGGAAGGTTGTTGAAGGAACAGAGGCAGAGCTGATATTCTCTTACTCCATACTTCTGTCCAGAGCACAGTCAGCAGTGCATGGCTTTTCTGGTATGCAGTGGGGATGACCAAGTTCACAGAATCATAAAATCCTGGAATGGCTTGGTTTGGAAGGGGCCTTAAAGTTCATCCGGTTCCAATGCTCTGCTATGGACATTAGATCAGGTTGCTCAGAGCCCTGTCCAACTTGGCCTTGAACATTCCCAGGGATGGGGCAACCACAAGTTGTCTGAGTTCTAGTGCCTTACCACCCTCACAAGGGAGGAATTTCTTCCTGAAAAGGGTCCAGGATTCCAAAAATGTAGGGCTGGAAACCAGTCTGTCAGTGCAGACACACCTGTGAGCCTTACATCAGCACATAAGCAAGTGAGCAGCTTAGTTGAATTATGGTTATTAATTAACAAAACATTCCTGCTTCCTGGTTTGCAGCTTTTATAAATGAAAGTGAAGATTAAGCATCTATCTTATGCCTGGCAGAGCTACCTTGGAAAATGGGACTGGGAAAAAAAACAACTTGAGGGGAGTGTCTCTACTATTATTACATAGACTCAGGATCAGTGCTGAGTGGCATGGAATTTTTTTAGATTATAACAATGCTATGAACTTTCTAAGCTTTTCTGCCAAAGAACCATGTTTTGGTCAAATACACGGCAGTATAAAGAGCAAAGTGATCATTGATGTGTGTGTGATGTCTGCTGCACTGCAAAGCTGTGTTTGCACTGAGCAAAGCACAACTCACACATCTTGTACATAGATGTGTTTTCATTATTTTAATTATTCTTTCTTTCTTGGTTGCTTTTCCCTCAGCAGACATCCCTGCCTATCCAGCTGTGCCCTGGAGTGATTTCTACATGCAGGGAGCTCCTTTCTCCAGTCAGTTGCATTCCCAAATGCCTTTTTCTAGCACGGCAGGAGGACAGTACTTCACAGAGCCATCTCTCCTTCAAGTGCCCAACACAACAGTAGTGGAATCCATGCCACAAACTGGAAAACAAATGGGAGTGACACCACCAGAACAAAGTTCCTACCAGAGCCACCAAACAGAGCCAGAGACAGCAGCACTCACTGAAAAAGAGGACATAGAGAGCAGCAGCAAGAAAGGAGAGACTATTGATGGTAACAAACTGATTGATTGTTTTCTTGGAGAAGAAGAGGGGGAAAGGGAAGAGTTCCAAGACAGCAGTAGTTACCCTGAATGCAGGATGAAAACTGTGGCATTATTTTTTTTGTGAGCTGCTGCCTGAGACAGCTCCCATGATCCTATACCTATTCTATACCTAGTTCTTAGATACATCTGTTTTTGGAAATGGGGACAGAAAAGTCAGTAAAATAGATGGCAAAGTTCTATGTTTCTTCAGACATCATTTGTGAGCTGTATGGCTACACAGAACTGATTATTTCCAAGATTTCCAGAGGCATAAACATCTCTATTCAAGGCAGAACTTCACCAAGAAGCAAAAAGGGGAAGGGAAGGTTTTCTGTGGGTCTAATTTTGAGATATAAAACATCTGAAAATTTCAAGGTATTTTGTGTGACATTTTCTTATGAATGTGTTTTGGGTTTTTTTGCAGAAACTAAAGAAGAAATTAATGACTGATGTTGCACTCTGAGAAAAAAATAAGGAAGAGGAAAAATTGCTCTTTTAAACTCTGCAAAATAAGAGTCAAAAAAAGAAAAGAATAATAATATTTGCAGCAGATGCACTTTATAATTTTATTTCTTTTTTTGGTTGTATTTTTTTTCTTGTTGCCATGATTATTTTCTTGCATAAAAATGAAGCAGGGATATTTCACTCAACAAAAAATAAAAGTTCCTGCTGGTTTTTTTGGTTTTGCTTTTTTTTTTCTTTTGTTTTGGTTTTGTTTGGTTTTTTGGGATTTTTTTTTTGCAAATCTCCTTTCTTTATTCTAATCTTGACCAGCCCTCAGACAGGAAAGAGCTGATAAAGGAACCAGAGTCCCATGAGTAAAAATTCCAGATCATGCAAGTGTCAGAAGGTCTGGCTTCTTCTCTTGGGGAAGAGAAACCAGGAGGCGTAAGATACACACAAAACAGGAGGAGAAACTCCAGCAGCTACACTTGATTTTAGGGACTCCAGACAACAAAATAAGTCTTCATTGGAAGTCCAGTAGTGATTTGGTGTTTGCTAGTCTTGAATTATTCTAAAAAAAAAAAAAGTTTCATTGTAAAACTGTAACAATAAACAGCAGCAAGACTGTAACTATAAATGCTGGCAGTGTAACCGGGTCCCTGTCTATTATTAATTGCTTTAGCATCCAATTTGAATTGATCTGTTTGAACTTGGCGTGATCATCTTAGCTTCTACTTTGCCTGGGAAACAGATGACCTATGTCCCTAAACTCAGTGGTCAGCAGCAGGAGCAGAGGACTCCAGTGAAGAGTTGTTCATGCTGAGAGCTACAGTCCCCAGGAACTGTGCTTCCCAGAGGAGCTGTAACCACCTGGATGTGTAGGATGTGTAAGACGAGTGGCTAAAATGGATGTCAGGCTGTGTTCTTGTGAGAAAAGACCATCGTGTTTTAGGAAGAGGGATGTGCATTTCCTTTGTTCCTTCCAGTGTATAACCCCGAGTCTTTCCCCTGGCTTTTAGACACAGACAATGTCCAAATAATTTTTATGTTTACTGTGATGTGGGTGTCCCTCTTGTACCTTGTGAATTTAGGCATTTCCACATCTTTTGTTTCAGTTCCTCTGCAAACTGGACATTGAGTGTCTGACAGGAGCTAGATGCTGCAGCTCCTCTGTTTTTTCTTCCTCCTGTGAGACACTGGTTTATGTCTGGCTGTGGCTGGATGCTGCTGAAAAGACTAAGCAGTATAGACAGGGACAGATTTTGAGTCTACAGCTTTGTGTGGCTATTCCAGAATTTCCATTTCCTACAACAAAAGTTAATTCTTGCCTATAATAAGCTGAGAATGGTTGGGAATGTGCATTAATTCACACTTGTTCCACTTATCCTCCATTGAACAGCCTAAACCAGTATTTCCAGGAGGTGTGAATAGGAGTTTTTATTGCAAGTACAAGTCACTCTGAAAGCTGTTGCTGGTGATGACTGCAAAATTCATCATAGTGAGGGCTGGCTGGGAATCTTGTCTGGATCCCAAACCAGCCCTTCCAGGTTTGGAAGAGGACAAAACCAACAGAATGCCAGCTTGTTCAGCTCTACCTGCCCCTTCTCATACAACAAAGAAGAAAATAATTTAGTGTGCTTTTTGAGAAATGTACATTTTCAGAAATAGGCTTTTGGGATGTGGTCTGCTGGCAGAGTCCCCACCCCAGCTTGCTGTATATGCTGTAATCTCAAAAAGTTTGGGGAGTGAATGAGCACAGTGTAATTTTTGAAGTGGCCAATCTTTTGCATTTAAGCTTTTGAGTAAAACATAAACACTTTTCTGGGAATGGTCCGATTCTATTTCCATGCTTGTCCGTTAAACTTGCCAGGTTCAATTGGGCTTAGAGTTTTGAACTGAGATTTCTTTCCTATCAGAAAGAGAAGGAAAGGGTGGGTACCTGAGGGTATGTAGATGGCCAGATTCATCCTCTTTGTGCTCCTGTTGGCTTTGGAGTCAAACCAGGGTTAACCACAGGCAGGATTTTTTTCCCAGTGCTGCCTCTGGCAGAAGCAGTGACAACCCTTGACCATGTGGCAGGTGTCCCACCAAGGTGAAGAGCCTTCCATCCTCATGTAACCCTCCTACTGCACCTGCAATTCATGCTGCACTGGTATCTTGGAATCCCGGCATTCCAGGCTCCTCGTGCTGTTCTCCCTGCTGCAATGTGTAGTGGAATTAGGTGTGTGTTGGACAAAACACCATGGGTGCTTTCATTAGCTATTCCCTTTTCGTGTTAAGTCTCAAGAAGGCTCATTTTGTTGGGGGGGGCAAGATCAAAATTCCAAATTCCATGGCTGCCTGACTGGTTCCTCCTTTGAAGTGAGAAGAATTGTTTTGCCTCTGTATTGTCATTTGAACTGGAAGTGCCAAGCAGCCAGGATTTTGAAGTAAATCAAACTTCATGCAAATAGAGAAGCCTGTGTGTGTTATCAAGTGTTGCTGGGGATTTTTCTGAGTTGTTTCTCAAGTTGACAAGGCAGATTGTGGATGTTTTTCTACTGGACTCATACAGTACCGTGGCTGTAAGACTGGAAATGGGAGTGGAGGTACTGTCACAAACTTATTTTCACAGAAGAAAAGTACTCTGAGATTTTGTCCAGTTGTCTGAAGTGTGGCTGTTCAGCTGACAGTGCATATATGTGCATATCTATCCCCTATTTGCATATTTTAGTATAATTAATTTTTAAACTTCTGCAACTTCTATTTAGCTGATGTATAACCAGGTAAATTTGGTATATTAACTTTTTCCCATGTGCCTTGGCCAGCAAAAAGACACTATTTTTTACAAACAAGCCCTGTTTTATGTGATGAGAGTACATGAACTCATGGGAACTAAATCTTCAGTTTTAGTAAACAAGAGAAACCTTATCTTACAGGCCTCTTAGTTTCTGTAAGGTGGGGTACATTAGAAAGTATCAGTATTAATTCAGTTCAACAGCAGGAATAATCTTTTGCATTTATTATAAAGGTTGCTACAAATTGGATGAGACAATCATCTGTTGCTGGGTGGTAAATGGTGATTTCCCTTCATGCAGCATGAAGGGAAATCACCATTTTAATGTGCTAAGCAGAGCACATTAAAACCCCCACAAAACAAACCAAACCCAAATCAATCACCTGCCCGTGCCCTCCATCTTCATAGGTAAGTGCTGAGCATGGAAACACCTGTGAGACCTCATTTATCTTAATGATAATCACACCTTCAGCACTGATAATGCATCTGCCAGGTGAGCCTGTGTAGCTCAGTCCTCAAACCAACTTCAGGGACACATTCCTTGATCTTCTTGTGTGTCCCACATCCCACGTCTGCCTGATCCATCAGAAAAAGGGTTGGTGAATTTTCATTGTTAAGGCAACAGTTTTTCAGAACCCAGGGCTGTGGTAACTGTGTCCTAAGGGCTGTTGCTGGAGAAAAGAACTGCTGAGAAGTGTTTGATTTTACAGCAAGACAGCTGTAAATAGCCGTGAGTTTAAAAGTTCCACTTACATACAGGATAAAAACCATCTTCTTGGGATATTTCCCTCCGAGCTCATTGTAGATTTTTACAGTACTTTAAGCAAGGTGGAGACGTTTGTCCCTTGATTGTTTTCAGGGTTTAGGAGCAAAGTGCCTCTTGGGTACATCTCACCTGGTGCTGGGGCAGAGCAGGAACCCAGATCCTCCAGCACTCCCTGCTGTGACCGATAAAAGCCTCTGCATAGTTTTTGCGGAGGGGTACCAATTTCCCATTCTTCTGTGGGAAGATGGTTTCATCCTTGCCTTTCTCACCTTTAGCAGGGAAGTCACATGGCCACTTCTTCCCAACCCAGATGCTTTGGGAAGTTGGGTGGTGTTTCCTTTTTTTGTTTTTTTGGGAGTGGGGGGAGGCAGACCTGCATGTTCCCATGTTAATTCCACATACCTGCCTGGGGTCTTGGGTGCAGACTCTTCCTTGCAGCACACAAGACTCCAGAAGGTGCCCAAAACCTTCCCAGTGCCTTGGGAACCTTAGAATTGCAGAAACATGTAAGAGTTTGTGTCAGAAGAGATCTTAGAGATCATATTGTTCCAACCCTCTGCCATGGGCAGGGCCACCTTCCACTAGCCCAGGTTGCTCCAAGACCCATCCAGCCTGGCCTGGAACACTTCCAGGGATGGGGCAGCCACAGCTGCTCTGGGAACCCTGTGCCAGGGCCTCAGCACCCTCACAGAGAAGAATTTCTTCCTGATATCCAATCTAACCCTGCTCTGTGTCAGTGTGAAACCATTCCCCTTGCCCTTTCACTACAGTTCCTGATGAGAAGTCCTCCTCTGGCTTCCCTGCAGCCCCTTCACCTACGGGAAGGTTCTGTGAGGTGTCCACACACCAACCTGCCCTTCTTCAGGCTGAACAGTGCCAACTTTATCTTTACCAGCCTGTCTCTATAGGGAAGATGGATGAGCCATAACTCCAGTGACTCCATTGACTTCAATGACTTCTGGACAGCTGTGTCATTCAGCCTCTGTTGAGAATGAAGGAACTGAATTTAAGGTTATTTGGAGACCCCCATGGGGGGATCCCCACCCCCAGTCTGGGTGCTATGCTCTGGTGTGGGTGTGCTGGGCTGGTTAGAGCAGAGCCCCGGGGAGCACAGGGGCTTGTCCTCTCCTCACCACAGCACTGGGAACACTGGGAATGCTGTGGCAGCCCTGGAGCTGCAGGGCTGTGAGCCATCCCACACCCGGCGTCAGCCTGCTGTGCCAGCTGGGCTGTTTACATTCAGTCCCATTCCAACAGCAAAGGCTGAAAATATTCCCATAATTTGTGTTTGCTCTTGTTCGCAGAACAGTCATGACTTATTTTTACAGTAACCTCACATTTTGAAAAAGCACTTTCCTGTTTGTGTCCTTTTGGTGTTCTGTTTGTCCCTGTAGTGGCAGAGGGATACGTGCCCTCCCAGCCTTCGGAGAACAGGAGATAGGACTCAGGAGAACCACTCCACTGGAAATCTCTGCTGATTCATTTAGCTAATGGCTCAGGAAGAAAAGCCCTTTGTGTACTGACAGCTGAATATCAGCCAATGTATCATAGAGCAAAAGTCATTGCCTTTTTTTTCCTTTTTTCAAATTAGGCTCTCCACCCTGACAGAGCTGCTTTCCTGAGTCATTCCATATTAGTGATTATAAACATTAAACTCTCTGCACGAAGGGAGGAAATGGAAAGGGAATCCCCATCTCCCTGCCTCCCTACAGCAGAGACTCGCCCTGCAGTGCTGAGCTGCTCCCAAGGGAGAGCCTCTCTCTGGGGAAGAGTGAGTAACTGAAGGAATATATGTATCTCTCTCTCTACTGTGGCTAAGAAGCAACTGGGTAAAGGTGGAAAAGTGAGGGTGAAATGAGCACAATGTGGCTGGTCATAGAGGAATGGGAAATGGAAATGGATTGGAATTGGGAATGGAGGAATGGGTTTAGTTCCTCTCTGACAATTCCTTGTGCAATGAAAACTGTGCAGTGAAACAGTTTGTGCCCCAAGGCTGACCACACTGAGCCTCCCTGGGTGAGAGGACAGGACATGCAGCCCGAGGTGCATTGGGAAGAGCAGCTTCCCAAGAGTGATGCTGCCCCTCTGCCCAGCC